GCCCTCTCCGTGGGGGCCAGTGATTCGCCCCCAATAGTCAGTGATGGCATCAACTGACTATATCGGGACGTCGGAAACCACAGCCACTCGGTCTTGGATGGGTTGAGCCTGAGCCTGTTCCTCCCCATTCAGATCCGTACGGCCTCCAGGCACCGGGACATCACTTCAAGGGCATCGTTGGGGTGATCCGGGGTGGAGATGTACAGCTGGGTGTCGTCAGCGTACTGATGGTACTCCACCCCGAAACCACGGATGATCTCGCCCAGCGGCTTCACATAAATGTTGAACAGGAGAGGCGAGAGGACCGACCCTTGCGGCACCCCACATATGAAGGTCCTTGGGGTCGACCTCTGTCCCCCTGTCAACACAGACTGCGACCGGTCAGAGAGAAAGGAGGAGAACCACCGCAACACAGTGCCTCCCACCCCTAACTCTTCCAACCGGTGCAGCATGATACCATGGTCGATGGTATCAAAAGCCGCTGAGAGATCTAACAGGACCAGGACAGAGGAGCACCCCCTGTCCCGAGCCCTCCAGAGATCATCAACCAACGCGACCAATGCCATTTCCGTGCTGTACCCGGGCCTGAAGCCCGACTGGAACGGATCCAGATACGTCGTTTCATCCAGGTGCTGGGGGAGCTGTTGCGCGACCACACTCTCAACAACTTTCGCCACAAAACGAAGGTTGGAGACCGGACGATAATTTACCAACATTGCCGGGTCCAGGGAAGGCTTCTTGAGGAGAGGCCTCACCACCGCCTCTTTCAAGGCGGCAGGAAAGACACCCTCACCCAACAAAGCATTTATAATCCCCTGGAACCAGCCTCGTGTCACCTCCTGAGAAGCCAGCACTAACCAGGAGGGACACGGGTCCAATAAACAAGTGGTCGCGTTCAGTCTACCCAGAATCCTGTCCACGTCCTCAGGGGTCACAGGATCAAACTCATCCCAGATAACATTCTCAAGACCTGTCCCAGTCCCTCCCACTTAGACTACCCAGTCGGAGTCCAGATCTTCCGGAATCTGAGTGATTTTGTCATACAGATATTGAACAAAATCCTCGGCTCTACCCTCCAAGTGGTCCTCCTGCGCTTCCTGGTGGAGCAGGGAGCGGGTCACCCTAAACAGGGCGGCCGGGCGATTATCTGATGACGCAATAAGAGCAGCAAAATAGCTACATTTCGCTGCTTTTATCGCCACTAGGTAATTCCTAATATGAGATCTTACCAGTGTCCGGTCAGATTCAGAAAGACTGGCCCTCCAACTATTCTCTAGGTGTCTTTTCCAGCGCTTCAACTCCCTCAGCTCCTCGGTGAACCAAGGAGCTAAATGAGATCGGCGCCGGGTCAGAGGCCGCAAAGGCACGACCCGGTCCAGAGCTCCAGCGGCCGCCCTATCCCAGGCGGCCACTAGGTCTCCAGTTGGGGCATGTGCCAGAGCCTCAGGGAATGGCCCAAGCTCCATCTGGAACCTGTCAGGTTCCATCAGGCGCCTGGGGCGGAACCATCTTACCGGCTCCGCCTCCCTGCGGCGGGGTGTAGCGGTTCGAAGGTCGAGATGAAGGAGAGAGTGATCAGACCATGACAAGGGCTCGGTGACTATATCCCCTATCTCAAGATCACTCAACCACTGTCCAGAGACAAAAAACAGATCCAGCGTGTTTCCCCCCATGTGGGTAGGGCCATGAATTAACTGGGTAAGGTCCATAGCTGTCATGGAAGCCATGAACTCCCGAGCCACCTCACCTCATATGCTAGATTGGAAAAGCCTGACCTTGATATTCTTAGCTCTAAACTAACTAACTGAGTCAAGTCAGAAAGACTAACAAGTCAGAAAGACTATTGGTTATCACCTTCAAAGCGCTCCATGGCTTAGGATCTGGCTATTTACGGGACCGCCTGCTGCCACCAATAGCCTCCCACCGACCAGTACGCTCCCATAGAGAGGGGCTCCTCCGGGTGCCGTCGGCCAAACAATGTTGACTGGCGGCCCCCAGGGGGAGAGCCTTCTCTGTGGGGGCACCTACGATCTGGAACGAGCTCCCCCCGGAGATACGGAGGATTCCGGATCTGCGTACCTTCCGTCGCGCGCTTAAGACGTTTTTATTCCATCAAGCTGGCCTGACCTAAACTTTTCCTCTTTTAAATGGAATTTTAAATTTGGTTTTAATTTATTGGGGTTTTAAAATGTCTCAGCCAAATTTATTTAATTAGTTTTATCTCTATTTTAAATTTTGTATTTACATGTTTTATTTTATGGCTGTTCACCGCCCTGAGTCCTTCGGGAGTAGGGTGGTATACAAATTTAATAAAAAATGAAAAAAAAAAATTCTGATCAATACGATGTCAACTCACAAAAACATTTCTAGCCTGCTTTTGAGTTGCTATTAGAAGCAAGGAGGGAGCACATTCCACGCATACCTTCTTCCTACGGTGAATCTCAGATTACCAAAACCGGGGTGTGAGGCATGTCTCTACAGCCAGCTCATTGGAGAATGTGATTTATGACCCAGACTGAAAGGAGTGGGGGGGAACAGGGTCGAAGGTAGGCCGTAACTTACAAGCGGCAGAGCAAACCTCACTTTTATTTTATTTTCATTTTATTAGATTTATATACCGCTCTACTCCCGAAGGACTCAGGGCGGTGAACAGCCAGAAAGATAAAACACACAAACTACAAAATTTAAAAGACAATATAAAAAACCATTAAATAAATTGGCCCAAAACAATTTAAAACACCCCTAATGTTTTAAAACCAATTTTAAAAGTTACAATTTATTTATTTATTTATTTATTTATTTATTTATTAGATTTTTATACCGCCCCCTCTCCCGAAGGACTCGGGGCGGTGAACAGCCAAAATTAAAAAACATACAATATAAACAATTAAAATACGTTTAAAACAGAATTAAATCCAAAATGGCTCCCCAATTTAAAACGCTTTACCCATACCCCTATAAATAAGACAAATTTAAAATTTAAAAATTTAAAATTTCCACATTTAAAAGGGAAATTAGGCCAAGCCAGCCTGTCGAACTAAATAGGTCTTGAGGGCACGGCGGAAGGTGCGTAAATCCGGGATTGAGCAGATGCCGACATGCTGCTCCTAATAAATCATTGGATTCCTTTTGAAACTTGGCTTGAGACTCATGATTTAATTAGGGCATCTGTCAGAACCTTCACATATGATACAGAAAAGATGCTGAGGCCCTGGAAAGAGTACAGAGAAGAGCAACAAAGGTTCTGGAGGCTAAACTGTACGATGAACAGTTAAGGGGACTAGATATGTCTAGCCCAAGAGTCGGCAACCTTAAACACTCAAAGAGCCACAAAGGTCCTAACCGGAAGCCCCCCGTTCAATTCTAGAGCCGACCAGAAGTCCAGTTCCAGAGTCTCCTCCTAGCACGGCATCCCTTTCCCTCTGCCGACCAGAAGTCTGGTTCCCCCACCATAGAGTCTCCTCCTAACATGACGTCCTTTTTTCCTCTACCTGTCCTAACCGAAAGCTCTATCAAATTGTGGAGTCGACCGGCAACAGGGAGCTGCAGCAGAGGGATGAAAGAGCCACATGTGGCTCCAGAGCCACTGGTTACTGACCCCTGGTTTAGCCTAATGAATAGAAGGCTTCGGGGTGACATGATAGCTATCTTTCGCTATTTGAGAGTTAGGGTTAGGAAGGAGAAGGAGGAAGCACTCACAGGAAGGAGAAGTTCGACTCATTATCCAAAGCACCTGGGGGCCGGACAAGAAACAATGGGTGGAAACTGGTTAAAGAGAGATCCAGTCTGGAACTAAGAGAAATTTCCTAATGGTAGGAATAATTAATGAGTGGAACAGCTTATTTCCCAGAGGTGCAGGTGCTCCATTGCTGGAATTCTTCAAGAAAAGATTGGACACCCTATTGTCAGGGATGCAATAAGGTCTCCTGCCTTGGGTAGGAGTTTATTTATTTTATTTAGTTTGTCAAACATGTAAAAGATAACAGGTATAAGTATAAACATAAATATAAACACAGAAAATGGGTACGAATAAATGGGGACAGTAGGACAGGGACAGTAGGCACGCTGGTGCGCTTATGCACGCCCCCTTTATGGACCTCTTAGGAATGGACTGAGGTCAACAGTAGACAGTCTAAGGCTAAAGTTTTGGGGGTTTGGGGAAGAAACCACAGAGTCAGGTAGTGCATTCCAGGCGTTGACTACTCTGTTGCTGAAGTCATATTTTCTGCCATCGAGTTTGGAGCGGTTTACCTTGAGTTTGTATCTATTGTTGTTTGTATTGAGTTTGTATCTATTGTTGTATCTCTTGTATAGTTGGACTAGAAGATCTCCAAGGTCCCTTCCTGCATGATGATTCTATGATTCAATGAGTCCTGAATCAAGAAAATTGCTTAGCGCATTGTAAGCCGCCCTGAGTCTCAGGAGAAGGGCGGCATATAAATCAAATTAAAAAAAAAAAAAAAGAGGCTCTTGTTAGCTTGTTCTTTGGACTGGCAAGAGATGAGTGAAGATTTTCTCCAACAGACTTTGAGAGTGTGAGATATGCGGAAGACTAGTTTAGAGGTTTAGCCAACTAAATGACATAAAGGGACCACCATTTAATTAAGACTGGAATAAAGAAACACCATAAAAGAAAATATCAATATCCTTCTTTTATATAAAGAACTCAGATATCTGAGACATTCATGAGTAATCATTAAAGACATAAAAGAATATGCGCCATTTTTACTGACAACAAGATGCCTGCCCATAATATTTATGATACATAATTGTAATACAACCTCTGCAACACAAAGGTTTAATTACAATAATATTTAATGTTACACAATTTACTATCTATTTCAACTTCACATAAACAATTATATTTATATCATACATCTGTGAAGCCTTATTGGTTGAGATCATCAGAAGGTGTTTTAATAAGCAGAGAATATAAAGGGGACATCCAAGAGGAGAACGGAAGAACATTCATGAAAATAGTAAAAGGAGGGGGGGGAAAAGGCTACGCGGCATTTTTACAGCAGCCACTCAAAGTTGGAAAAAGGGGAAGGCAGGAGAATGTTGACGCTACTATTATTCTTTATAACTGTGATTCTATGCTTGGTTCTTCTCTTTCTGAAACTGTTCAGAAAACACAAAGACCATCCCCCAGGACCTTCTTCAATTTCTTTGCTAAAAAGAATGCTGTTGGAAAGGAGTATCTTGTCTGAGAAGACATTAATGGAGGTATGTCTTTTAAAATGCTATTTGAATAAGAATTGAGAGAAGAGGATCTTGATAGAATTGAACATTGGACTACTAGTCCCAACAAATGGTGTTCAATAGTGAGTAATGTAACAGTAACAGAGTTAGAAGGGACCTTGGAGGTCATCTAGTCCAACCCCCTGCTCATGCAGGAGACCTGTACCAGGGATTCGAACCGCTGAACTGCCGACCTTTCTGATCGACAAGCTCAGTGTCTTAGCCACTGAGCCACCTAATGTGAAGTATGTTTATTTACGCAAGTACACGGGAATGAGGTAGGCAGATTCAACGGTAGTACTTGTGAGAAGGACTGGGTGTCCCAGTAGACCGCAAAATAAACATGACTCAGCGGTATGCTACAATTGTTACAACAACCAATGCAGTTTTGGGCTGCATCAACAGAGCTATAGTTGTTACAGGTGTTATGCCTTATATGCAGCTGTATCCTGTATATGTAGTTGTTTCCTGTATCACATTGCCACTCTAGATTCATCTCTATTGTTCCTGTGATGCATTTCCTGTTCCTGTTGTATTACTCACTTGCTAATAAAATGGCTTCTGCACAGTGAGGGCTTGTAGTCAATGGTGAAATCCTCCACGGTTTGCCACCTGTTCGCTGCCTGCAAATGTGCAGTGCATGCCAAATGCACGCTGCACACATGAGCATGCACAATGTGCACCAAACACGCACTTTGCACAGAAAAAGGAGGCTTAAGAAGGCAAGTAGAACAACGGGGGGGGGGGGGACAGCTATGCCACACGATTTAGATTCGCTAGAAAGCAGGATTTCATGCTTTCTAGTGAATCTAAATCGCGCGGCAGAGCTGATCATTGGAAATACCAGTTTGGACAAACCGGTAGCTTTTTTTTACTGCCGGTTCACCCGAACCAGTGCGAACCGGTAGCATTTCACCCCTGCTTGTAGTGTGCTTACTTACTCTACCTGAAATATGGTGTCAGAAGCATCTAAATGTATGCTACCTCTATACATTTAATGCATACCAGTCTAGAACCTGTGGTCCTATCCTGGAAGCCAAGCATTTGAAAAAAAAACTCAGCATCATGACAGCTGCTAACAGCATACCACTGCCTGAGGCAATGAGGATGAGTGGAAGTTGTAGCAGTAACTAGGACAACTTCAGAGCAGAGTTTGAGGATTACTCCCTAAACCACAGGGTTAAATGATAAGCCAGCAGCAGTGCAAAGCAGCGGTACTGAGAAGGTTGATGGGCAGCGAATGCCTCCATTTTTACAAGCATAATTTAACCCTTACAGAGGTGAGAAGGTTGATGGGCAGCGAATGCCTCCATTTTTACAAGCATAATTTAACCCTTACAGAGGAGCAAAAGAGTGATACTAAAACCATCCTAGATGACTTAAAAGTCTTTTTGAGGCCCTCTAAAATGTCATATATGAAAGATATATATTTGGCAGCTGTAAGCAAGAAGAAAGTGAAGCAATAGACAGTTTTGTCACACCGCTAAGAGAAAAAGCTGCAAGCTGTGAGTATGGCTCTCTGAGAGATGAACCTATTCATGATAGGTATCACTAGTGAAAGCACACTAGTGCTAGTACCGATAGTTCTCGGTATCACTAGTGAAAGCACACACTGCCGCCTTTTGAGGGAACATACTGTAATTTAAATTTACAAGTGGCAATTGAGATATGCATTTACCTTCTGTGTTCCAAACTGCAGCTGGCACATCAATATGGGAAAATTTACTCTCTGTGGCAAGGGAATGATCATATTGTAGTCTTCTCTGGATACAAAATTGTGAAAGAAACATTAATTGACCATTCAGATGACTTTGTTGATCGCCCATTCACACATTTCCTTGTGACTATCACCAACAAACGGGGTAAGTTTGCCCAAACAAGTTGGGATTACAATGTTTTCTTGATTTATACTTACAGGGCCAATACTCAGGTTTTCAATTAAAATATTGAGCATTAGAGATGTCAGCATGATCCAATCTGAGTCAGTCGCTGGGACCAGAGTTCTAGTCTTCCAAACTTTCAGACTTGTGCTGAACCTAGGGGTGGGATTCAGCCAGTTCGAACCGGTTCGGGTGAAATGGATGCTAATTTTACATCTGGTTCACCAAACTGTAGTTTCAAGGACTGGCTGGCCCCATCCACCCCACCCCTCCCCTCCCAGGAGTCTGCACGCAGCCCATTTTGGATGCCATGTAAGTCCCACACGGAGGCTCTGGGAGGGCGAAAAATGGGCCTCCCGGAATTTCTGGCAGTCTGGAAACAGGCCTCTTTCCGGCCTCCAGAGGGCTACCAGAGCCCAGGGGAAGCCGTTTTTGCCCTCCCAGAGGCTCAAGGAAAGCCTCCGGACCTTGGGGAGGGTGAAAATGCCCCCCCCCCCCGCCATGGTGCAGGAGGCTGAGTAGGCCATGCCCACCCAGGAACCGGGCAGAGAATCAGTTGCTAATTTTTTTCTGGAGAGAATAGTTCCCTGAAATGAACTATTGCCCTGAATATGTCAACAATGTTGTAAAGCAAGGTGATTGCTACATCTGTGCTTTGATAAGAGTTGTGGTGGTGCAGTGGTTAGAATGCAGCAATAATTAGGAGATTATTTGTTAGCTCATAGGGATGACAGGATCAGAAAACAAGAGGCATTTAAGAGACCAAATCAAGGAAAAGTATAACTTATATGAATTAAAGCAGGAGTCAGCAACCTGTGGCTCTGGAGCCGCATGTGGCTCTTTCATCCCTCTGCTGCAGCTCCTTGTCACTCAAAATATGTGTCACAACCAGGGGTGGGTTCTACTTACCTTTACTACCGGTTCGCAATTGGAAGCTTCTGCGCATGCGCAGATCGTCCATGATGACATCCGGGCAGGTGGGTGGAGCCTCCCGCCGCTTTTACTACCAGTTCTCAAGAACCGGACAGAACCGGGAGCAACCCACCACTGGTCACAACCACCAATGTGTGACACCCGCCGGCACGTGATTTATTGAGCTTTTTGACCCATCTTTTTTTTCCCGGCGTTCAAAATGATTGTGTTGCATGCAGAAATAAAAATTTGTTTTCTCTGTAGCAGTTCGTTGATTTCATAAATGCAACACATTATAGTTTTTTTTTTTTATACATAGCATAAAGGTAAAAAATGATATAGGCAGTGTTATCTTCATTTTAGATGTTAGATGTTGTGCCCACGTGACACCCCTCCTGCGCGAGCTGCACTGGCTCCCAGTGGTCTTCCGGGTGCGATTCAAGGTGTTGGTTACCACCTTTAAAGCGCTCCATGGCATTGGACCTGGATACCTTCGAGATCGTCTTCTGCCACCAGTAGCCTCCCACCGGCCAGACCCACAGAGAGGGTCTCCTCAGGGTGCCATCGGCCAAATTATGTCGGCTGGCGACACCCAGGGGGAGGGCCTTCTCTGTGGGAGCCCCTGCCCTTTGGAATGAACTGCCCCCAGAAATTCGTAAAATCTCTGATCTCCATGTATTTCGCTGTGCCCTCAAAACCTTGTTGTTCCGCCAGGCGGGGCTATCAGTATAAAGATTTTAATTGGTTTTTAAAATGGGATTTTAAATTTGGGGTTTTATAACTGAGCCTTTTATTTAAAAATTTTAATTACTTTTAAATTTTGTCTGTCTTGTGCTTTTAATCAGGCTGTACACCGCCCTGAGTCCTTTGGGAGAAGGGCGGTATAGAAATAAAATAAATAAATAAAATAAATAAAATAATAAATAGATGTCCAAAGGGTTTTGTGGCTCCCGGTGTTTTCTTTTCTGTGGGAAACGGGTCCAAATGGCTCTTTGAGTGTTTAAGGTTGCCGACCCCTGAACTAAAGGATATATAAATATATGGCCAACCTATAATTTTATTTATGATAGGATTTTTATTTCAGGGGTTTCTGTCATAAGAAAGTAAATTATAAGAGGCATTATAAGAATTAAATTATAAGAGATATTATAATAAACAGGTTATAAATTATAAATATGTTATAATCTATAGAATTGGAAAGAACTGAACTCCCAAACTTGAAAAAAGAGCTGTCATGTGGGACTGCACTAGCCCATTTATTTGCACATAATCAGGGGGAATTCTTTACTGTTGCTCCTATATAAATCAAGATTTTTCTATGTTACTAGGAATCTAGATTTTTCCATTTATTAATAAACTGAGAGGTTATTCCCCCATGTTTCCATTTTTGGAAGAATGGACTACACCTGAGTGTCAAAACTGGGCAGACAGGGATTGGATTCTTAAGTGCAGGAGCAGAAATTAGAGCTATTTTCTAGAAGACAAACCATATTGCTTCTCAGATCTACCATTTTCAGCTTAGTGCTTTGCTGGCAATCTGCCATAAATTGTTAGGGGGTCAGGGGGAAGAGGAAGAGGCAACTGGCATGTAGAGGGTAGAGATGGGCCAAAGTGGAGGGGGTGAAAGATTTGACAGAAGCCAGTGGTGTGGGAACCAGCCTATTCCAGTCGTCAAGGCTTCAAGGCCAAGGAGCTTGGGAAAGGAATGCGAACTGCAACAAATGGTTCCCAAAACATCCATGGGCCTACCGCTTGACAAAGACCAACTGACCAGAGAGAAGAGAAAATTCTGTAATTCTTTGTGCGGGAACTTTAGTTCTAGCCTGCTTTCGCTACAACCACTAATCCTTAGTAAAAGAACCTAACGCTTCAAATGAATGGAATCGAGGCTCTTTCTTTCCTAAGGACCTAGCTGGGGCAAGCCTGACATTGCTTTTGTATTAATTGTTGAGCCATTTTTTCCCCCTTTTTGTTCCTTGATGGTTCAGGTATTGCGTTTTCAAACGGCCACACCTGGTTGCAGCAAAGACAAGTGAGTGTTGTTACCATGAGGAAATTAGGCCTGGGGAAAAAAGGCCTGGAATGCCAAATACAAGCAGAGGTCGAGAGGTTTTTGGAAGACCTTAGAGGTAAACAAGGTATGTAATAATCCCAAATGATGTTGCTATATGTCTCAGTCTGCAGGGTTTTTTTTTTTCCAGTGGTTTACAGCTATTCATCCATTAGGGATCCTGGTGTTCAGAAGATCACCTAGCTTTCCTTTACCTCATTCCCCTATTCCTAGGATAAATAAGCATCTGGTGGTTTTGCAGGCTTTCAGAAGATTTTGTGAGACTACTAGATCTTATAACATGAGATCTGAGAACTTTCAAGAACGTGGTATTGATGACATCATATTTGTGAAATTGGTGGTTGCAAAGTCTTCGGAGACGAAGCAAAGGATTGTCAGGAGCGTTTACTGAATGGGAAGGATGAAAGAAGGAAATGTTACAATGCGATTCTCAAGATCAAAGTGTATTTTCTCCTTGGGGGTCAAGCTATTGGAAGCATAGCTTAGGCGTGTAGGTAGTAACTGAGACAGCAAAGAAAAGGGAGGAAAAATTTAAACTCCTTGGAATTGCCTGCAAGTTGGCTCATAGGTTTTAAAAAACAAATATAAAATAAGTCAGAGAAGATAGATAGAATCTGCAAGGAGACCGCAGAAAGGAAAACGTAGCCCTGGAGCAGTGGTGGAGCAGCCAGCCCTTCCCAAATCTGAGTGATTTTGTCATACAGATACTGCACAAAATCCTCAGCTCGACCCTGCAAGGGGTCATCCTGCGTTTCCAGATGGAGGAGGGAGCGGGTCACCCTAAACAGGGTGGCTGGGCGATTATCTGATGATGCGATAAGAGCGGCGAAATAGCGAGATTTCGCCCCTTTTATCGCCACTAGGTAGGTCTTAATGTGAGACCTCACCTGTGTTCGGTTGGATTCGGAGCGGCTGGTCCTCCAACTACTCTCCAGGCGTCTTTTCCGGCGCTTCATCTCCCTCAGCTCCTCGGAGAACCAAGGAGCTAGGTGAGTTCGGTGCCGGGTCAGAGGCTGCAAAGGCATGACACAGTCCAAGGCCCCGGCGGCCGCACTATCCCAGGCAGCCACCAGGTCTTCAGCCGAGTCATGAGCCAGAGTCTCAGGAAATGGCCCAAGCTCCATCTGGAACCTATCGGGGTCCATCAGGCGCCTGGGGCGGAACCACCTGGTCGGTCCCACCTCCCTGCAGCGGGGTGCAGCGGTTAGAAAGTCCAGTCGAAGGAGCGAGTGGTCAGACCATGGCAAGGGTTCGATGGCTATATCCCCTATATCAAGGCCACTCAACCACTGACCAGAGACAAAAACTAAGTCCAGAGTGTGTCCACCTGTGTGAGTGGGGTCATGAATTAACTGAGTAAGGTCCATGGCCGTCATGGAAGCCATGAACTCTCGAGCCACCTCCGACGTTTCACCGATAGATGGCAGGTTGAAATCCCCCATGACAGCAAGTCTGGGGGTATCAACCGCCACCTCAGCTATGACGTTGAGCAGCTCGGGCAGGGCTGTTGCCAGGTACATGATCAACAAGCCCATCTGTACTCCACGGCCCCACTTCACAAAAAGGGATCACATCCGGCTATCTGTGGAACAGTGGTCTCCCTTGGATCCAGACCTTCCTTAATAATAACCGCCACCCCCCAACCCCTGCCCTGAGCCCTCGGCTGATGAAATGCACGGAAGCCTGGTGGGCATATATCCACGAGGGGAACTCTCCCCTCCTGGCCCAACCAGGTCTCCGTAATACCTAAATATCTAAATATACTCTCTAAATTAAATATGGATCCTTATATTCGGAAACCCTAGACATTTTTTTTAAAAAAATTGATTTATATGCCGTCCTTCTCTGGAGACTCAGGGCGGCTTACAATGCGTTAAGCAATAGCCTTCATACTTTTGTATATTTATACAAAGTCAGCTTATTGCCCCCACAAACTGGATCCTCAATTTACCTACCTTAGAAAGGATGGAAGGCTGAGTCAACCTTGAGCCTGGTGAGATTCGAACTTACAGTAATTGCAGACAGCTGGTGTTAATCACAATGCTTTCAGTCTGCTGAGCCACCAAGTAGTACTTAACCAAGTAGTTCATTTTACAGATGGCTCAAACCATTATTTTTCAAGTTTTTATTCTGACTCCTTAAACACATTGATGCACACCTTAACACCATTTCATTGTATTCAGTTGGGCATTAGGTAGATCCTAAAATATATTGTTTAAGAAATTTCATAGAGGGTCCATTGTCAAGGATACCGATACATTTTTTCCAGTGCTGAAATGTAAAATTTGTTACTACCGGTTCTGTGGGTGTGGTTTGGTGGTGGTGATGGTAATATGACTGAGTGGGCGTGGCCAACTTTTTATTTTTAACTTTTAAAACCATTTTTTTCTACAACCTCTTCGGCTGAAGAGGTTGTAAAAAAATGCTTTTTTAAAAATTTTGATTTATATTAAAAAAAAAAAAAGCATTTTTTAAAAGCCTCTGACGATCCCAGCTAACTTGCCTGATCGGCAGAAGCTTTCCTTTTTTTAAAAAAAAGCCTCTGATGATCCCAGCTGAACCGCGCGATCATCAGAGGCTTTTTTTTTTAACTTTTAAAAGCATTTTTTCGACCAAAGAGGTTGTAGAAAAATGCTTTTAAAAATAAAAAAAGCCTCTGATGATTGCGTGGCTCAGCTGGGCAATGGGGGGGGGGCAGGGATTTTTGCTACCAATTCTCCGAACCACCCACCTCCATCGCTACTGGATTGGGTGATCCGGTCCGAACCGGGAGCATTTCACCCCTGATTTTTTCCCAATTATGTTAGCTCCACCCAGAGTTACTAGTTTTTGTACTCCCAACATCACTTATTTATCTCGAATAAGCTATATATTAGACCATCTTGCTTTTATTTCTGACACAACTAATGTAAATATTAATGAGATGGTTTTTTTTTTGTTTTGTTATCAGGACAGCCATTTGATCCGTCACTGTACGTTCAGCTTTCAGTTTGCAACGTGATCTGTGCTTTATCATTTGGGCATTGCTTTTCCATTGAAGACAAGGAGTTTCTGGAATTGCTGGAATCCATGCACATTCTTACAAAATATTTAGTCAGCTTCTCCCACATTGTGAGTAATTGTTGTTCGTCTCTGAGTCAGTGGGTTCAGAATTTGCCAGAACAATTTATTTATTTATTTTATTTATTTATTTTTGTCAAGCATATATAAGATTACAGATAAAAGTATAAACATGATTATGAATACATGAAATGCAGGAGTGAAATGCTACCAGTTCGCTCCGGTTCAGGTAAACTGGTAGCAGCAGCGACGCGTGGTTCAGAGAAGCGGTAGTGGCAGCAGTGCGAGGCTCCACCAACCACCCGGACGTCGTTGCTTCCTGGTTTTAACCAGGAAGTAAGCTGTTTTTGACCCTCTGCGCATGTGCAGAAGGCTTTGTGCATGCACAGAGGGTTTACAATTGGACTTGACAATGGCATGGCATGCACACTTCCGAACCGGTAGGGAAGGTAAGTAGATTTCACCCCTGATGAAATGTATAAACATGATTATGAATACATGAAATGGATACGAATAAAAAGGGACATTAGGATAGGGATGGTAGGCACGTTGGTGTGCTTATGCACACCAATGGACTTATCCCAATGGACCGATGGGAATGATCATAACTGTAATTTCATTGAATTACCATATTTTTCGGAGTATAAGACGCACCTTTTCCCCCCCTAAAAAGGGGTGAAAATTTAGGTGCGTCTTATACACCAAATATAGCCCTGCCCACCCACTGGCCCCCACCCTTTGGCCTGTGCCTCGCAGCAGTTACCTCCTTGCAAGCAAACAGCAAGAAAAAACAGTTCCTTTCAGCTTCAGCATAGACTAATTAGGACAAGTTGATTAGATCGGCCTCCCGACTCTCAACTGATTTGCCCTCAGCTGTTTTGCACAGGCCTCTACTGCTTGTTTCAAGGAAGAAAATTGCTGGAGCAGATTTTTTTCCCCCTTGTGCTAATCAAGCTATGCTGAAAACGAAACTAAAAGTAAAGCAGGCTGTTTGCTGTTTGGTGCAACGAGGCAAAATTAGGCAGAGGCAGAGGGAGATTACTTTTTCTTCTTTTTCCTCACCAAAAAAGGTAGGTGCAAACAATGGGAAATTTAGGGCAAAAGAGGAGAGGTCAAGATTTTAAACACGAAAGAAAAAAAGGAGAAAAAAAAGGCAAAAATAAAAATGGGAAGGGAGAAAAAGAAAAAGAAATGAAAGAGAAAAATGTTATACATATTTAGAATTGAAATATGAATAGTAGTAAGAAATAAATGGGAAATCATGATTGTAAAAATGAAACGAATAATAATTGGAATATTTGTCTTTGTATTTTTGAAATCTAGACAATGATAAATTTTTATTTTTTTATTTTTTTAAGAAATATGAATAAGTATAAACAGTAACAATTGAAATACCTTTAATAGTATATGGTGGTGAAAGTAAAAAGGATTAAATTATAGCTTGGATAACAGCTAGAACATTTTTAAATTTAATTAGGGAAATTGTAATGATTGAAATATTTTTAATTATATATTGTGATGAAAGTAGAAATGATTAAGTTGTGATTTGGAGGATTATATGGGCAAAACTATGTGGGTTATTGGGAGAGTTTAAAATGTGAAAATGAGTAACATAAGAGGAGGAAATTATTTGGTTTATTATTATTGGTAAATATAATTAATTGATTTGTAAGAAATTGGATTGCATGGAAATAATTGGAATATTCATGTTCATATTGATTAATATACAGAAAAAGATAGTTATATAACTAATTGATTTATATTAAAATGTTGAATTTGTATTAAACATTTGTAATATTACATAATTAACCAATGTGAGGATGGATATAAAAATAGATGACAATGGGAAGGGGTATAATATAGAAGGAAAAAATTGAATTTGATTAAGATTAGAGATGAGGATGAAGGGTAATATTGGTTTTTTTAAAAAAAATAGATGAGGAATAAATATGGCAAAAAGGAAATATAGAAATTGTAAATTTAATTGAAATGACTAAACACTGTTTAAATTTGTGAACCAGCCAAATACTCTGTTCAAAGAAAATACATTGTATGTTTGTATGTGTGTTTGTCTAAAAAATAAAAAAAACTTTTTTTAAAAAAACACCAAAAGAGGTAGGTGCGTCTTATACTCCGAAAAATACAGTACTTTTTCTATACATTCTCAATGTCAGGCCTGGAAGCCATCTTTTTCATTGGGCCTTCAGGCCTGCCACATTTGTGGGAAACAAGGAGGGGGGATTGTATGGAGCCAGGGTGATATATAGTCATAATAACATTCCTTTCTCAGAAAGTCAAGGTCATCTTGCCCTGCACCTGGATGGCTGGAACTAGGAGGCATCTCCAGTTGGGATGGTGTTTGGGTTGGACCATGTGATGGACATGTGGGTGTTGGGCATGGACTTGGACTTTCTTTTGTGTGGGGAAAACCTGGAAGCTTTCAGATTCGGGTTTCCCCAAATGTGTCAATATGACATCTCTAATAAAATGTAATTTTGAGGAAACTCAAGCCTCGGAGTTTTCTTTCATTTGGGGGGGGGGGTTGTTACTTGGAAACCTGACACTCAAATTTTAACACGTATGTTATTACTTTTATACTACTTAATCATTAATCTGGAATATTTCGGTATGTACATGAGGACCATTGATGGTAGATAATATTGCAAAGTGGCAGACACTTTTCTTTGCCAAATATTTTGGGAATATAAATTGGAATTTTGGGTGGCATAATATTATTTAGAGAGCTGGCCTAGGAGAGAAATGTTATACATTTATGTCCCCAGTTATTGACTGTTATTAAGAAACAACAAAAGAATAGACATATGTTTGACTGTCTGTGTTCCCTAGAAATATGGAAATAAGTTTGATATCTGATATGGGGCAGATCATGAGGCTGAATTGGTAATTTATAGGAATTGATTTATGGTGCTGGTCTTGTAACAGGATTTGCTTTCTCTTTCTTGTAGATTTATGGATTCTTTCCATTTATCATGAAATATATCCCAGGGTCTCACCAGAAAACCCTCTCTGCAGTGGACAATATAATCGGTACTATAAAGAAGGAGCTCACACAACATAAGGAGAATCAGAACCTGCACGAGCCACAGGATTTCATTGATTATTATTTGCTTCAAATGGAGAAAGTAAGTCTCTGTTTTGTATAGCAATATATTGTGGCCCGCCAGCGGCCTGCGCGGATCGTGGCTGATCCCGACAACGAGGAGGCTGGTGTGGTGTCGCGCCAGCAGCCTGTGCAGCCGGCGCTCGTGTCAGACAGCGAGGAGGCTGAAGAGGATGAGGTGCCAGGGGCAGAGACTCAGCCAGGGCCTTCAGAACCTCCAGAGGCTCCTTCAAGTGGAGAGAGTGAAGTGGAGGAGCCTCTTCTCAATGCTCGAGCACACAGGGCTGCCAAAAGGCAGGAGTGGCTACTCAGGAGAAGGAGGTCTCCTCGAGAGTAAGGCTTGAGGATAATTGGCCACTGCTTTAGCCTATTTAAGTCACGCACTGTTAGTAAGTTTCTTGCTGGAAACAACTTGTAATTATCATCAGAGCATTTTTGGAAAAGTCTTATCGTATCTTGTTTTCTGGGCTGGTTGCCAACCTTTGCCGGACTTTGGTTTATTCTTGCTACTTAATAAATTTGATAAGGACCATTGGTGTGTGTCAATATCCTCGGGAATCCGGAGCTGGGGCAGAACACAATACTATTTGATGGAGATATTGAGAGTTGCTTCTTCCAACTCTAAGCTATTGTTTGGGGTTTCCAAACAATTTTTCCTGTTGTTGGAGCGGATGCTTGGAACTCCACCATGGAATAATATTGCCAGCTATTCCCTCCTCCTGCCGTAATCCCTTGTGTAGATAATATTACTACAGTTGGTTTAATTGCAATAGAAACTACTACCAACATACTATTAGTTCACAACTAAAAGGGATCAGCAGTTGTTCCTATCATGATCAAAAGTATGATAGATATGTATCAACCTCAGCAAATTGACCAGACAAGGAAAGCCACTCCAAATGAAGTTTAAAATGACTTTTATTAAGAGTAGCTATAAAAATAGAACATTTACAGTCTGAATATGCTGTATGTCAGAGTATGAATATTCATAGACTGGAATAGGTCAGCCAATGGGGGCTGATTGAATAGGGATAGCAACAGGTCAGCCAATGAGGACTGTTTGGTAACTGAAACAGTATTTGTTGTATGGGGCCACAAGAAACAGTTCGGAGCCTGGGTGTAGCTTAACTGTTCTGTATATAGGTTTGAGAGAACTAGCTTCTCTCTCCTCCATTTTTCCTTCTCTGTTTTGTGCTTTCATTTTGTGCTGTGTTTGTACTTGCTATTTCTCTTCTCTACAACATGGAAAAACCTACAATGGTTTTGTACATAAAGACATTTTCTTATGTAGATGAATCCTGCAGAATTATTTAATTGTGTGTCTGATTGTGTGTGCTGCAACAAATTCTGACACTGTACTCCTCCCCCATATACTCCAATCAATCAGGGAGCTATCTGTCGAAGCTACTGTATTTTTCGGAGTATAAGACGCACTTTAGCTTTTGGGGAGGAAAATAAAAAAAAAGCTGATTGGTGGGTGGATCGGCCTCCCGGAATATCCCCAATCAGCTGTTCCCAGAGGTGAATTTTAGCAACAGATTTGTTGGTTGTGAGCTCTGTGCCTTGCTTTTTTTTTCTGCTTCTGAAACTCTGTTTCAGAAAAAACTTTTTTTTCTGCCTCTGAAAGCCTCCAAAACAGAGCTTCAGAAAAAAAGCCTTTTTTTCTGAAGCTCTGTTTGGAGGCTTTTTTTCTGAAGCTCTGTTTCGGAGGCTTTTTTTCTGAAAGACTGTTCAACCTCCTTCCTTTGGTATTGGTATATAAATTAACCTCTTCCGATCTGTTGGTTATTGTGTCATTCTCCAGATTTGTTAGCATAGTTTGGTTAGAACCTTTACTGATTCTTCTTTTGCTGCTTGCCATATTATTTTAGATAAAAGCCTTTCAGAGGCTTTTTTTATGAAGCTTCTTTCAGAGGCTTTTTTCAGCCTCTGAAATCTCCATTTGCGAGGTTGGGCGGGGCTACATTCAGAGTATAAGATGCACCCAGATTTTCACCCACTTTTTTGGGGGGAAAAAGGTGCGTCTTATACTCCGAAAAATACAGTGCTTCCAAATGTAATTGTGTTTTCTCTTGACTTAAAAAAAGACTCATTCCCTTTTGCCTAAGTTATGGTTCTTGCTTATTGCTGTCTAGGTCAGCTTTCTGACTCTTTAACCATGTGATTGGTTGGCATGACCCATTTCCTAATTCTTGTTTAAGTAGCTATGCCTATAAGGAAGGATAAGACAGGTTTTTTTTTTTTTTTTTAAAGAGCAGTATAAAGCAATCCAAGGAACACCACAAAGGATATTCAAAGGATGGGGGTAATAAAACATTTTAGCTACTGCATTGGCCAGTTGGAATATGGGAAAGGATATCATTTAATAGTATATGATTATTATAGAGATAAAAATGATGATTAATAAAGAGAAGCATCAATTGACTAATCATATTCTTTCATCCCAGAATGCTGTGACTTGATTGGTGAATGGTTTTCCTGCTTGCAGGAACAAATGATGTTTCACTCTCCACTAAAAGGAAAAGGTTAATAGCTTTGAGTTGACATTATTTTGAGGTAATAAAAAAAATGATAAGAAAGACAAAAAAGTCTGGATAGTGGACTTGGCAATAACTTGGAGACAGCAGAATACAAGGTAGTCCTCAGCATGCAGTCACAATAGAACCTCAAATTTATGTTGCAAAGTGAGACAGTTGTTAAGTGAATTTTGCCCCATTTTACAACCTTTCTTGCCACAGTTGTTAAGTGAATCATTGCAGCTGTTAAATTAGTAACACAAGTCGTTAGGTGAATGTAACTTCCCCATTGACTTTGCTTGTCAGAAGGTTGCAAAAGTTGATCTCATCATTCCCGTACACTGGAATTAAATAAATAAATAAATAAATAAATAAATAAATAAATTTATTTCTATACCGCCCTTCTCCCGAAGGACTCAGGGCGGTGTACAGCCTATTTAAAAACACAAGACAAAACAGCAATTAAAATTTAAAATGATTAAATAAATTTGGCTCAATTAAAACTCCAGGAATTTAAAATACCCCAATTTAAAACTATTATGTTGATAGCCCGGCCTGGCGGAACAACAGGGTCTTCAGTGCGCAGCGAAACACGCGGAGGTCAGAGATCTTACGTATTTCCGGGGGCAGTTCATTCCACAGGGCTGGGGCTCCCACAGAGAAGGCCCTCCCCCTGGGTGTCGCCAGCCGACATAACTTGGCCGATGGCACCCTGAGGAGACCCTCTCTGTCGGAGCGGACTGGTCGGTGGGAGGCTATTGGTGGCAGAAGACGGTCTTGAAGGTACTTTAAAGGTGGTAACCAACACCTTGAATCGCACCCGGAAGACCACTGGGAGCCAGTGCAGCTCGCGCAGGAGGGGTGTCACGTGGGCACAATGAGTTCCGCCCATAACCACCCACGCGGCCGCATTCTGGACCAGCTGGAGCCTCCGAGTGCTCTTCAAGGGGAGCCCCATGTAGAGAGCATTACAATAGTCCAACCGGGAGGTAACAAGGGCGTGAGTGACCGTGCCCAGGGCGTCCCGGTCCAGAAAGGGCTGCAACTGGCGGATCAGGCGAACCTGATAAAAGGCCCCCCTGGCCACGGCCGTCATATGCTCTTCTAAAGACAGCCGTGCATCCAGGAGGGCACCCAGATTGCGAGCCCTCTCCGTGGGGGGCAAGGATTCACCCCCAATAGTCAACGATGGCACCTGTTGACTATATCGGGGCGCCGGAAGCCACAGCCACTCGGTCTTGGAGGGGTTGAGTCTGAGCCTGAGTCTGAGGAAATTGACTCATATTGAATTGTCATCAATATGAGTCAATTTCCAAGCATCTGAATTTTGATCACATGTTGCACCATGGGGATGCTGCAACAGTTGTAAGTATGAAAAATGGTCATAAGTCACTTTTTCCAGTGATGTTGTATCTTTGAACAGTCGGTAAATGAACTGTTGTAAGTTGAGGATTACCTGTAGAAGAGAAGGAACTGGAGAAGATAACAAAATACAAAGACCTGCAAATAGAAATAAAACGACTGTGGCAAAAGAAAGCAAATGTAGTACCAATAGTCATAGCAGCCTGCTGTACAATCCCAAAACAACTGAAGCACCCCTGGAACACCATTGGCACTGACAAATTCGCCATCTGTCAATTGCAAAAGGCAGCTTTACTGGGAACAACTTCCATCCTGCGAAGATACCTCGATAGGTAGAGAAAAATGCCAAACCCAGTCTGAACATCTAGCTGACTGTGTAACAATCAATAATAATAGAATAGAATAGAATAGAATAGAATAGAATAGAATAGAATAGAATAGAATAGAATAGAATAGAATAGAATAGAATTTTTTATTGGCCAAATGTGATTGGACACACAAGGAATTTGTCTTGGTGCATATGCTCTCAGTGTACATAAAAGAAAAGATATGTAATAAAGCTGAATAATGTTTTCTAAATTGTTCCTAATATTTTGTCCCATTGAAGTTCTCAAAATAGTGCATGTGTTTCACAATTATGTCCCACTTTTATATTCATTGTCTCTAGTCTTGTTCCATCTTTATCTCCAGAGAGAAGATGGACTACGAACTAGTAAGGGGAGAAACTAGGTTTGGAGAAGAATTGGTAACAATAGGAGAATGTCTACAATTGACATTTTGCCTTTCTCATTGTTATCTACAGAGCAAGAATGATCCAAATTCTACATACGATGAAGACAACCTGGTTCACTGTATTGCTGACCTCTTGATTGCTGGGACAGACTCAACATCTGGTTCTCTACAATGGGCATTGCTACTCATGGCAACTCATCTGGATATTCAAGGTGGGACAAAATTAGTGACAAGAAAATTGAATTTTTAGTCAGGAAGTGAAATTCCGCTATAAAGTCACGCCAGATAGAATATTAATATATATTTATATTCTAGAGTTGAACAGACAGTTTCTGATCCTTTCGGGGTAATTTTTAGTGTTCAGAAACTATTTTTAGTGTTCTTGTTTTAGGAGAGTAATATGTTCAAACTCATTCCTGGGATATAATTTGAAAAAAAAAAAAGGTATGTCATTCATGTTAATGTATTTTTTTTTCATCCTCCTTTTTTTTTTTTTTTTAATTTGATTTATATGCCGCCCTTCTCCGAAGACTCAGGGCGGCTTACAATGCGCTCAGCAATAGCCTTCATCCTTTTGTATATTTATACAAAGTCAGCTTATTGCCCCCACAAACTGGGTCCTCATTTCACCTACCTTAGAAAGGATGGAAGGCTGAGTCAACCTTGAGCCTTGGCGAGATTCGAACCCTGCAGTAATTGCAGGCAGCTGGTCTTAATAAGCTTAATAACAGGGTGCCTTAAACCCCTGTACTACCTTATTCCTTTCTTTTCTTTTTAATTGTCTGAGCCAAGCCCCAGTGATTTTATAATGACTGACCGGCTCAAGGTTGACTCAGCTTTCCATCCTTCCGAGGTTGATAAAATGAGGACCCAGATTGTTGGGTGCAATATGCTGATTCTGTGAACCACTTAGAGAGAGCTGTAAAGCATTGTGAAGTGGTATATAAGTGCTATTGCTATTCCAGAGATCAGGTGTTGTGACAGAAAAAGCATGCTCCTGGGGTCCCACTAGATCAGGGGTGCCAAACTCAAGGCCCATGGGCCGGATCCGGCCTGCAGGGTGCTTAGATCTGGCCCACAGGGCCGCCCTGGAAACAGCAAAAGACTGGCCCACGGTACCTCTGCCAGTGAAAACGGAACTCGGGAGGGGCGCAGGCAGCCCTCGCGAGCTCCACTTTCACTGGCAGAGGGTTGCAGGAGGCCGTTGCGGCCAAAAATGGAGCTCTGGAGCCTGTTTTTGCTGACAGAGTGCTCGGGTCACCACAGGCACCACATGTCTTGCTGGCCACTCCCACCCCGGCCACACCCACCCCAACCCCCCAAGGTCAAACACAACCCTGATGTGGCCCTCAATGAAATTGAGTTTGACACCCCTGCACTAGATGATACCCAAAGCATCTGCTTGATCTCATTGGACAAAAGCACCCAGAAATATGCAGTTCCTCATCCTGCCACCAATAGCCTCCCACCGGCCAGTACGCTCGCACAGAGTGGGCCTCCTCAGGGTGCCGTCCGCCAGACAATGTCGGCTGACGACCCCCAGGGGGAGAGCCTTCTCTGTGGCGGCGCCCACCCTCTGGAACAACCTCCCCCCAGAGATACGTACAATAACAGACCTCCGGATTTTTCGTCGGGCCCTGAAAACTCATTTATTTCAATTAGCGGGGCTGGCTTGAGTTAATTTTAAATTGATTTTAAATTGGGTTATTTTAATTTACGGCCAATAATATTTAATTATTTTAAATTGTTTTTAAATTTTGTATGTATTGTTTTTTATTCTGGCTGTTCACCGCCCTGAGTCCTATTCTGGAGAAGGGCGGTATAGAAATTTAAATAATAAATAAATAAATAAATAAATAAATCCAGCCACATGCCATGAAGGCTTGAGAGATGATTCTTTAAAAAAAGATAAATCGCCTTATAGAAGAGATAATATAACAATCAAGGTGAAAAGAATTGCTGATGCTGCAATCTTGATGGCCACTTAAAAGTAGCTACTTGGTGTTATTATACCTTATCATTATCAACAGTGTAAGGGAGAGGCTCAAAGACACTATTTGTTGAGTGAGGTGATAAAGGACTTCAACGCTCTCTAAAGACAATTGATTAATGTTCCATGCCTTTCCTCTATTCATCCTTAGCCATGCTGAATGCAACTGTCTAGTCCAGGGGTCAGCAACCTGCGGCTCTGGAGCCGCATATGGCTCTTTCACCCCTCTGCTGTGGCTCCCTGTCACTCAAAATATGCCTCACAACAGCCAATGTGCGACACCCGCCAGCACATGATTTATTGAGCTTTTCAACTCCTGGTAGGCCAACCATGGATAAATCCAAGAAAAGAAAAGTTTCAGAAGAAAACAGAATGTTTAATTCAACTACATATGCTAGTTTTGTGGCCGCTCAAGAAATAGTCAGGCACGGGAAGGGTTTTGTGACTCCCGGTGTTTTCTTTTCTGTGGGAAATGGGTCCAAATGGCTCTTTGAGTGTTTAAGGTTGCAGACCCCTGTTCTAGGGCAGAAACACTTTTTTCACACCTCATTTTTAAAGGCGCACAAAAGGTGTGCTTAGCATGTTCTCTTGAACAAGTAAAAGGGATCTGAAAGGCAAGCAACCCAGGACCTCCAGACATTCTTGAATTACTGCTTGTGTGAAGTACTGGAGATATTGCTTTACGGTGGCAGGTAAGATCTGTAAAAACAAAAAGAAAAGTAAACTTTATTGGGAAACGGTGGATCCAGAGAATGGATTGCTAGGTTATTGTTTTTACATATTTATATTTAATGTCTGCTAATAATCCTTTCCTGATATCAGGATTTTACAATCCATCTTAGTTAGTATTCAGAATCTCTTTCATGGAAATCACATGAAATAATTATTGTGGGGAAAAAAGTATCTGAACACCACCCCCCTCCTTGCAGAGGTGGGTTTCAGCCGGTTCTGACCAGTTCTGGAGAACCGGTAGCAGAAATTTTGAGTAGTTTGGAGAACCGGTAGTAAAAATTTTGACTGGCCCCACCCCCATCTATTCTCTGTCTCCCGAGTCCCAGCTGATTGGGAAGAAATGGGGATTTTGCAGTAACCTTCCCCTGGATTGAGGAGGGAATGGAGATTTTACAGTATCCTTTCCCTGCCACGCCCACCAAGCCACACCCACAGAACCAGTAGTAAAAAAATTTGAAATCCACCACTGCGGCCCCTTGCTTCTTTTCTGAGGTAATTTATGCGGTCTTCAATAAAAGTTTCTTTCAGACAAGGTCCACAAGGAACTAGAAGAAGTCTTAGCTTCATCTCGCTCCATCAATTACGGAGATCGAAAGAATCTGCCCTACACCAATGCTGTGATTCATGAGATCATGAGAAGCAAATACATCTCATTATTTGGAATACCAAGACAATGCGCAAAGGATATTTACCTCAATGGGGTTCTCATTCCCAAGGTGTGAATTTTTCTGAATTCCAAGATTTGCATTTTAAGAGCTGGATCTACATATGGGAGCCCCGTTGAGCTTCTTCTGTATGCTAACACCTTGTTCGAATGTAGCCTTTAGATCAGTGATGGCTAACCTTTTCCGGACCGAGTGCCCGAAGCACGCGCCCAAACCCCCAAAATGCAATCTGCGTGCAGCCCCTACGCATGCACCCCACCCCCCACGCATGCACCCGCGCACCCTGCATGCGCCCTACCCCCACACATGCACGTGCAGCCCCCCACATGACTCCCACCCCCCATGTGGCAGAGACCCACAGTTGAAGTCCACATGTCTTAAAGCTGCCAAGTTTGAAGACCTCTGCCTTAACCATTATAGCAAACTGGTTCCTAGAAATATTATTTACTAAATCCACCTATTCTTTTATTTTCTCAAGGCCTACCTGTATCTGGCAAATACAGTACAATATAAACAGGAGTAAAATGAACCACAAACCATTTTTCGTTTACGTACATACTGATGAAATCTCTGTTGGCAGTGATGGAAGGGAAACTATAGAGAAAAGGAAGATTAGTTGAAGAAATTTAAAAAGGGAGGTAGTAGAAATGGCCTGCAGAATAATCCCATATGATGGTGTGTCAGGGTAATGGTGATTTAATAGCTGACCAGCTGCTGTAAGGCTGTAATCTGAAATGATGATGCAATGAGAATGAGTCAGCAGGGTTATCCCTTTAAGAGACTGTAATATAAGAGAGGCCCTGCGAGGGCATATCTCTCCGTGTGTGCTTCTATGCTATAGTTGATGATTGATTGCCTGACTTTGCCTAGTACATGTATGTATATATTCCTTGTAGATAAACCACTATTTGAAAGACAAACCTCTGTTTACTGAATTTTGCTCCTGGGTTGTCTCAAAATAGTCACACTGTGCGCAGTCTGACATGGTGTTTGAAATTTACCTGAATGTAAACGGGATATCCAGAAACAAGAACTGAGTTTGTCTATATGTTTTCATTTCTTTCTTTCTTTCTTCATTTTAGGGAGCTATTGTTTTACCAGATCTGCGCTCTGTTCTTCTTGATTCTGAACAATGGGAGACTCCTGAACAATTCAACCCCAATCATTTTCTGGACAAAGAAGGGCATTTTGTGACAAAAGAAGCATTTCTCCCATTTGGAGCAGGTAATGTGCAAGTTTCTTGCTTGTTGTAAGGAAAGAAATTGGAACTAAAATTGTTCACTGCCAAGTGCTGGTTAAAGGGCAAAATGACATTTACTCTGCATCTAACTGGGGATTTGGGGAAAGGTAAATTAAGGAACTTCTTTCCAAAATATGCAACTGTATTGGAGTAAAAGACGTACCAGAGTTTTATGATGCACCTACCTTTTTTGGTGAGGAAAAGAAGAAAAAGAAATCTCCCTCTGCCTCTGAGCAATTTTGCCTCGTTGCAGCAAACAGCAAACAGCCTGCTTTATTTTCATTTTCGTTTTCAGCATAGCTTGATTAGCACAAGGGGAAAATAATCTGCTCCAGCAATTTACCTCTTTGCAGCAAGCAGCAGAGCCCTGCGCAAAACAGCTGAGAGCAAATCAGCGGAGAGTTGGGAGGCCGATCCAATCAGCTTGTGCTAATGAGGCTGTGCTGAAGCTGAAAGGAGCTGTTTTTTCTTGCTGTTTGCTTGCAAGGAGGTAACTGCTTCGAGGCAGAGGCCAAAGGGTGGGGGCCAGTCGGTGGGTGGGGCTACATTCGGTGTATAAGATGCACCTAAATTTTCACCCCCTTTTAGAGGGGAAAAAGGTGCATCTTATACTCTGAAAAATACGGTAACTTGTTAGAGTTGGCTGATGGTGAGATGGGTGACAGATACTGTTGGGAGGAAACTCCATCTGGTTCAGTTCCAAGTGGGAGAAAGACACTGGAAATAACATGGAGGCTGATTGGAAAGAAAGTCTATGTTTATTGATTAGCAGAACCAACACACACACAGACACACACACACACCAGGGGTGAAATCTAAAATTTGTTACTACTGGTTCTGTGGGTGTGGCTTAGTGGTGGTGGGTAATGTGACTGGGTGGGCGTGGCCATTTTTTTTTTTTTTTACTTTTAAAACCATTTTTTCTACAACCTCTTTGGCGAAGAGGTTGTAAAAGAATGCTTTCAAAAGGCTCTGACGATCCCAGCTGAGTTGCCTGATCGGCAGAAACTTTTTTTCTTTTAAATGCCTCTGGTATAGGTATAGTTTATTGAATAGCCCGAAGGCGTTTTCAAACAAAACAGAAGAGAAAAAGGGAAAAAGATAAAACAGTTACAAAAATAGCAATCTAAAAATATATGATAGATGACATTAAAATTTTACCATATCAAATTTCAATAGCTAAGTTGCCAAGACTAGAAGACTAGATAACCCAAATAGGATAGCTCCTCTCTAACTAAGCTCATCTTTCTTACAATCGATAAAATTTTCCTTGATATAACTGGCTCGTATTGCTGTCAACCTTTTAAGGTATCGAGTGATCGCTCTTACCAGAGGAGGAGAGTCAGCCTTCAACAGAAATGCTAATTTTTGGCTTATATTCCAGTGGGGAAATTTATTTATAATTGGGGACAGATATTGATTTCTAACTTCCTGATAGAGACTACATTCGAATATTATATGTGCTGTGTCCTCCATGACGTTTACCCCACATATGCATATTCTTTTGTCATACGGGATTTTCCGATAACGGCCGAATTTAACGTTGGTATCTAGAAGTTCGAATCTAAACTTAACAAATAACTGTCTCTCCACTGATAGCATTTCTAAATATAAATACTTTTCCAGGGTGAAAGTTGTTTTAACTGCTGTCAGCAGTTTAAGGGAATGATTAATTGAAAGGGTTGCCATATCCATTTGCCCATATATATCTTTAATCCGTTGTTTAACTTGGTTCAGTGTGTCACACAACGGGAACCCTACACCATATCGGTTCAATATTTCTGACAGCCGGGTTAGCCAGGAATACCTTTGAGGATTTGAAATCTGCTGTTCCTCTAGACATATTTTAGGGAGTCTGCTGGCATCCATCTGGGTCATTTTTAGCCAGTAGGCTACCGCCCTAGTGATTGTATAGGTGTATAGTGAGAAATGTCCCAATTCAGCTCTGACGGCTGCAGCTGAAGTGGAATTGTTTACCCCAAGCATCCTCCTTAACAGATTATTTTGAGTTCTCTCTAATATGGGGGCCTCTGTAAGACCCCAAATTTCAGCACCATAGAGCATGATCGGAACAAGTTTAGCCTGAAAGACTTTACGAAGAGGTAAAATGGAGGTTGGTTGGAAAATGCCTCTGATAATCAGGCAACTCAGCTTGGATCATCAGAGGCAAAGAGTTTTTTCTTTTAAAAGCCTTTGATGATCCCAGCTGATCATCAGAGGCTTTTTTTTTTTTACTTTTAAAAGCATTTTTTCGGCAGAAGAGGTTGTAGAAAAAATGATTTTAAAAGTAAAAAAAAAAGCCTCTGATGATTGTGTGGCTCAGCTGGGCATGGGGGGGGGCAGGGATTTTTGCTACCAGTTCTCCGAACCACCCGCCTCCATCGCTACCGGATCAGGCGATCCAGTCTGAACCGGGAGCATTTCACCCCTGACACACACACAGAGCGTGCAGTTCTGGAACAGCTGACCTATTGGTTTGGTTTTACATGGCCTTTTATATATATATATATATATTACAGCATTTTGTAATCTGGAGGCTTGCATTGTGTGTTTTTATTATTTAATTGGTTTTACTTGTTTCGCAAAGGCACATGATGGCTCTTGATTATCACTTCCTGTCAGGCATATGTAATTGATTTTTATCCTGTTATCTATTGCCTCTAGTCTGCCTTTCTAAATGGACAGGTATTGTTTCCCCTTTTCTCAATGAATGTCCCATCCTTAATCCCATCACCTGGAGGTGAAGGTATTTTGTGAATAGGCTGGCTCAGGATTTCTTAATGGGCATCTGCTGGGGGCTGTTAAGAAAGACTGGGGGCTGCTTTCTGCCTCTAAGAACATGTTTCTCCATTTCTCCTTTGGGGAAATATAGTATTCTACCTCTTTCTAATATCCCCCCAAATATTTCATTCTCTAGGATGCGGGTGGTGGTGTGAGATTAATTCTTACAATACTGAAAATGTAATAAATAAATAACCTCAGTAAAACTCAGTACCGGAAGTTCTCGACTTAGGACAGTAATGGCACTGCCCTTTACAGCTGTAAGTCATGATAGCAATAATAATAGCATTTAGGCTTATATGTCACCCCATTTTGTGACCTTTCTTGCCACAGTTGTTAAGTGAATCACTGCAGTTGTTAAGTTAGTAACACGGTTGTTAAGTGAATCTGGCTTCCCCATTGGCTCTGCTTGTCAGAAGTTCGCAAGAAGTGATCACATGACCTCAGGACATAGCAACCGTCATAAATATGAGCTAGTTGCCAAGGATTTGAATTTCGATCACGTGACCATGGGAATGCTGCAAGGGTCGTGTGAAAAACAGTCATAAATCACTTTTTTTCAGTGCTGTTGTAACTTCAAATGGCCACTAAATGAGCTGTTGAATCTACCTGTACTAGTATCGTGTTTCCCCGAAAATAAGACCTTGTCTCATATTTTTTTTGAACGGTGAAATAAGTGCTTGGCCTTATTTTTGGGGTGGTCTTATTATTTTGGGGCACGTGGACGAAACCAGAGGAAATGGCGGGGACCGGCTGCACGTGCGTTTAAATATTTTCAGGGAGGGCTTATTTTCAAGGGGGGCCTTATTTTAGCGCATGTGCTCAAAAGCCCGATTAGGCTTATTATCAAAGGATGTCTTATTTTGGGGGAAATGGTAATTTTCTGCTTTTATTTCATTTTGTTATGTAGGTGCTCGGATTTGTTTGGGGGAACTCTTTGCAAGGATTGAATTCTTCATTACGTTCACCAGTCTGCTGAGGGCATTTAGGTTACAGCCCCCAGAAGGAGTGGAGAAGCTCAGTGAAGAACCCATCATAGGAATGACAGTGTACCCGTCTCCATTCAAGATCTGTTTTGTTCCTCGCTCTGGTACATCACAGTAGGGAAAAACAACAAAAAAGTTTCACCTGTTTCTGAACCTATTGCTTTTTCTTCTGTTTCAACAAATTGTCACACCACTGTTGAACACATTATATCAATTGTTCTCATAAGAGGTTGAGCCTGTAGTACAGTGGACTAAAGCACTGTTATTAAGAACTGCTGCTTGCAATTACTGCAAGTTCGAATCTCACCAGGCTCAAGGTTGACTCAGCCTTCCATCCTTTCTAAGGTAGGTGAAATGAGGACCCAGATTGTGGGGGCAATAAACTGACTTTGTGTAAATATACAAAAGTATGAAGGCTATTGCTTAACGCATTGTAAGCCGCCCTGAGTCTCCGGAGAAGGGCGGCATATAAATTAAAGCAAAAAAAAAAAATTCGAATTGGGATTGGAAATAAACAGCCTGTAAAAGTGAGAAAATATTGGCGTCATATTGTTAAAAAAATATACAGTTAAAAGGGAGCATTGGATGACTAATGTTCACTATATATATAAATTTAGTTGTTATATAATAGCTTCCAATATAATGAGGAAACAAGCAGACGTAATGTAATGAAGCGGGCTCTGATAGATGACCACTGGATAACTTTCTATTCACTCTATTCTAAAAAGCAATGCATCCGGTTGGAAAAGTACAAACTCAGCCAAAATCCTTTTGGTTCCTCTAGGAGGCCTCTAAGTTGTCAGAAGAAAGGATCATTCTAATGACATACAGCTTAAAGGTTGGTTAGGTCAAGGGGATCCACATGAGTTAAAAGTTGTCTATCGTCAGAAGATGATTTGAATCTATGCTTCAGTAATCTACAAAAAAGAATTATAACTGTTTTGCAAAGAAACTCTGTAATTAGGAAATGTCAATTAAAAATGATAAATGTATATGACCATATGAATTGCTGAGTTAACAGAATCCTTTGTCTAGAAGGGTATAAAACCATTGTACCTAATTTCTGTCTTTGTTCAACGCTTCATGTACAGAGCTTTGAACCTATTGCGCAATATATAAATTTGTCTCTGATTAATCCAAAAGTTGTGTTTGTCTTATTAAATCCACAACAGACGCGGAGGACTAATAACTAGGCTAAAGGCTAATCCATACAGGGCAGTGATGGCTAACCTTTTTCTCGTCATGTGCTGGCACTGCGCACGTGTGCCGGCACACATAATGCAATGCACCCCCCCGTGCATGTGTACATGACCCCCCCATGCTCCACCCCCCCATGCAGGCCTCCCTGCAGCCTCCTGGGCCCAAAAATGGGCTGTGGGGGGCGCTGCTCCCTGTGCTTCCCCCACCTCCGCGCATGCATGCACGACCCTCACCCCCCATGCATGCGCATGTGACCCCCACCCCCCTGCCCATGCACACGCGTCTCTCGCATACGCCCCGTCTCCCCGCACATCCCAAAGATCAGCTAGGCGGTGGGAGGCACGTGCACGCAGGCACGGTGGAGCTGAGCTAGGTGTTGGTTCGCGTGCCCACAGGGAGGGCTCTGTGTGCCAGCTGTGGCATGCGTGCCATAAGTTTGCCATCACGGATATAGGGCGTCACTGCCATCTATTTTGTTTACTAATGTGCTCCTTAGAGGCTAAAATGGATTAAATGATGCTAGAGTTAATAATGAACCGGGAGGTGAGAAACTGCTGTGTCGTCATTGCAATGGAAACTTTGTTAAAACATTCCATCCCAGATAGTGCTGTTAGCTTTTTCAACATGTTGGCTTATTTTCTTTTGAGAGTGTGCATCAGAATTTTATTTTTTAACGTGTGCCAGTGTGTTCACAGAAAAAAGTGACAATAAAGCCGGTCCCCCCTCCCCTTCTGTTTGATTGGCGGTAATCTTTAATTGGGCAAAACAGTGTGTTGTAGGGCAACAATTTTTGAACCGAAGTACTTCAAATGAGCTAACTTCAGTGGTGAAATGTAAAATTTGTTACTACCGGTTCTGTGGGCGTGGCTTGGTGGTGGTGGTGGTGGGTAATGTGACTGAGTGGGTGAAGAGGTTGCAGAAAAATATGCTTTTAAAAGCCTCTGACAATCCCAGCTGAGTTGCCTGATCGTCAGAGGCTTTTAAAAGCATTTTTATAACCTCTTCGACCGAAGAGGTTGTAGAAAAAATGCTTTTAAAAGCCCCTGACGATCCCAGCTGAGCTGCACGATCATCAGAGGCTTTTTTTTTTAACTTTTAAAAGCATTTTTTTCGGCTGAAGAGGTTGTAGAAAAAATGCTTTTAAAAGTAAAAAAAAAAAGACTGATGATCGTGCAGCTAAGCTAGGCATTGGGGGGTTGGGGGCGCGCAGGGATTTTTGCTACCACTTCTCTGAACCACCTGCCACCATCGCTACTGGAGTGGGCAATCCAGTCCGAACCAGGAGCATTTCATCCCTGGCTAACTTACAGAATGCATCCAAAATATGGAATGCATGATTTCTGTGGAACTGAAATTTGGCAAATTTTATAAAATATGTCATAAAAATAATCCTAAACATTTTATGACAATAATGCAATATGACATAAAACATTTCCTGTGTTCAACTCCTGAACCCTAATGTTAGTGCAAAAGACCAGGTCCACATGTGAAGGTCCAATTAAAATGATTTGTTACTAAAAAGCCTATGTCCAGCAGCTGTTTAGAGTTAGATGAAGGCTAAGAGAATTCAAGGGAGTGGTGGTTTGGACATGATCCTCTTGTGGCTTCACAGGGATACTAGAGTGATTCCTCTTTTAACTCCACCCCTAGATTCTGCCACTCTTTCTCCTACAGTTACTTTCAAGGTAGATAAATCTCTGAGTATCTTCCTCAATTTTTAAGAATTTTCCAGCAAAGGAAGTACATTAGAATCTCTGCCATTTTTTGGCAACAACTATGGGAAAGGAATTATAAATTAACGATGTCCACTGCATATAAGGAAAATCAATATAAAATGTTTTATAGATGGCATATGCCACCGGAGAAGTTAGCAAAAATGTTTAAAGATGAATCAGCTAAGTGTTGGAAATGTCACCAATTACCAGGAGCCTATTATCATATGTGGTGGACATGCCCTGAAGCAAAAAATTATTGGAATAAAATTAAAACCAATTAAATTTGGTTTTGGTATTTGGGCCCTAAGCACCCTGTTATTAACACAGCTGCCTGTAATTACTACTGGTTCGAATCTCTCCAAGGCTCAAGATTGACTCAGCCTTCCATCCTTTCTAAGGTAGGCAAATTGAGTGGATGATATTGATGTAAACTAAATGTCAGCGTTCCAGAAAACTCCAACTCCGAGTAAAGATGCGGAAGCAAGCATTTTCCAAAGTTCTCTTTACTGGAATAGGTAAACTGGCACATCTGGAAAAACCCGAATCTGAGAGGTCCGGGTTTTCCCAGTAAATCAAAACCCCCAAAACCATCCCCTCACTCCTCAGTCGATCACATGCTCCAATCAACCGCCGTCCCATCTTGACTCAGCACTCCGACCACGCCTTCTCCAGATGCAGGATCGGCCTGACCTTGACCGACAGGAAGAATGCTATTATGTCTACAAACAACCCCTCTACTAAATCCCCCCTCCTACTTTTCCACACATGAGAAGGTGGCAGCATGGAAGCTTCCGGCCTAATATGGCTTCCAACGCTGACACTAGATTAAGTTTGGTTTTCTTTCCTTTTACCCATTTTCTTGCCTTACTGCTATCCACATTTTTGTGCACATTTTGGAATATGGCTCAGCTTCAAAGGGAATATCATGTAGGGCAGGGGTGGGCAACTATGGCCCTTTTACAACCTGTGGACTTCAACTCCCAGAATTCCTGAGACAGCTTGGCTGTCTCAAGAATTCTGGGAGTTGAAGTCCACAGGTTGTAAAAGGGCCGTAGTTGCCCACCCCTGATGTAGGGTATGCCTGACTGTACAAGTTGTGTATTTATAATTTCACACCTGAAACCCATTCAGAACAGGGTAGAATTTCTTGAAACTGATGATAACGACTTAGGAACGATTCTCATTCCCTCAATTTACTTAACCTCATAATCTATTAGTCAGCTGAGATTGCCTTATGGCAGGGCTGTCAAACTCACGTCGTCACGGCAGCGTCATGTGATGTAGAGGGACTTCCCACCCTTTGCTAAACCAGGTGGGGGCGTGGCCAGCATGTGATGCATCCAGCCCACGGCCCGCGAGTTTGACAGCCCTGCCTTATGGCTAATTGTAGTAGCATATAAACTATTTTGGTTTGGTTTATGGTTTATTTGATTTGTATACCGCCCTACTCCCGACGGACTCAGGGCGGTGAACAGCCAACAATAAAATACATAAATACAAAAAATTTAAAAACCAGATAAAATCAAATTAAATCATTTTGGCCCGGACAGATTAAAACACCCCAATAATTTAAAAACAGATTAAAATTTACATATTTAAAAGGGAAGAAAATTAGGCCAAGCCCGCCTGATGGAATAAAAAGGTCTTCACAGCATGGCGGAAGGAGCGCAGATCCGGGATCCTCCGTATCTCCAGGGGGAGCTCATTCCAGATGGTAGGTGCCCCCACAGAGAAGGCTCTCCCCCTAGGGGCCGCCAGTCGACACTGTTTGGCTGACGGCACCCGGAGGAGTCTCTCTCTATGAGAGCGTACTGGCCGGTGGGAGGCTATTGGTGGTAGTAGGCATCCCGTAAATAACCAGGTCCTAAGCCATGGAGCGCTTTAAAGGTGGTAACCAAAACCTTGAAGCGCACCCGGAAGACCACCGGGAGCCAATGCAGCTCGCGCAGGAGAGGTGTTACATGGGAGTGCCATGTCGCTCCCATTACCACCCGCGCGGCCGCACTCTGCGCCAGTTGGAGCCTCCGGGTGCTCCTCAAGGGGAGCCCCATGTAGAGAGCATTACAATAGTCCAGGCGGGAGGTGACGAAGGCATGAATGACCGTGCGTAACGAGTCCCGATCCAGAAAGGGACGCAACTGGCGAATCAGGCAAACCTGATAAAAAATCCTCCCGGTCACGGCCGTCAAGTGCTCTTCTAAAGACAGCCGTGAGTCCAGGAGGACGCCCAAGTTGCGAGCCCTCTCCATGGGGGCCAATGATTCGCCCCCCAATAGTCAGTGATGGCGTCAACTGACTATATTGGGACATCGGAAACCACAGCCACTCGGTCTTGGATGGGTTGAGCCTGAGCCTGTTCCTCCCCATCCAGACCCGTACGGCCTCCAGGCACCGGGACATCACTTCAAGGGCATCGTTGGGGTGATCCGGGGTGGAGATGTACAGCTGGGTGTCGTCAGCGTACTGATGGTACTCCACCCCGAAACCACGGATGATCTCGCCCAGCGGCTTCACATAAATGTTGAACAGGAGAGGCAAGAGGACCGACCCTTGCGGCACCCCACATATGAGGGGCCTCGGGGTCGACCTCTGTCCCCCTGTCAACACAGACTGCAACCGGTCAGAGAGAAAGGAGGAGAACCACCGCAACACAGTGCCTCCCACCCCTAACTCTTCCAACCGGTGCAGCATGATACCATGGTCGATGGTATCAAAAGCCGCTGAGAGATCTAACAGGACCAGGACAGAGGAGCACCCCCTGTCCCGAGCCCTCCAGAGATCATATTTTACAATTCCTATTTGTTTTCCCAATATCCCTTCAGCCCTTGATCTAAGACATGGATGTCAAACTCGCGGCCCACAGGCCGGATGCGTCACGTGCTGGCTACTCCCACTCCCAGTTTAGCGAAGGGGAAAAAAGTCGCGATATATCACGTGACGACGTGATGACGTGACGACACAAGTTTGACACCCCTGATCTAAGAGAGCATTGGCACAGCTTAATTTCCTCATTAGCCCCTTCTCATTGGTCAGGTAGGCAGCAGTTGCCGCTACAGGTATCCAAGATGTAAAACCTATGTTTATGTTGCCAAGAGTGGGTACAAAAATAAGAAACCTCCCTCCCCACAAGGTGTGCTGGGAGGTGGCTCTCAACCTTTTAGAAAGCCAACCCTGAAAGAGAACCATGTGCAAATGAATTTGAAATAGAAGGAGACAGTATGAAGGAG